TTGTGACATCGTTATGCTCATGTGTGTCAGCTGTTTCCCCATGTGTTCCCACTTCCCTCATTAGCCTCCTGTGTGTATTGAGTCCGTGTGTTTTCAGTCATTCCTTCTCAGGTCGTCTGTTATTTCACGTCGTGTTTTCAGGTATCCATGTCAGTTCACCATGTTTAAGGTTTTTTCATGTTTTAGTTTTAGTTCACCCAGTTTAGGTTATTGTTTAGTTTTCACCCATGGCCTTTGTTTGTACCTTTTTTGCTAGCCTTAATAAACGGCTTGTTTTTTGTTAATCCACGTCACCTTCTGTTTTTGGTCTGTGTTTGAGTCCTCTTTTGCAAACACAGTCTGCCTCAGCCAGACTGTGACAAATCCAGCCTATACTCACACTTGTAACACAAGCTATTCCCTGCTTTTAGGAATAAATTAGATTTTTCAATTCCTCCACAGGTTAGTGGCAACTACTTTCACTCTGTTGAGGCGTCAGGACATATGGTGACATTTGGTTTTCTTTATCACTATATTTTTGCCTGTTGCCAAAAGATGTATCAGGCTATAGCTTAATGTTCTGTTTTGGGTATTTTGACCCTGAAGTTTTAACCCATAATGTAGTTGAACATGAAAGATTTGAGCGAGATGAACAAATTTTGAACACTAACTACAAAGAAATTCATTATACATGGAAAACTGTCTGGGTTTTAGTATTTGTTAGTTTGGTAAAAAGTTGTTATTACAGTTGGCCCGATCATGCTTTGATGCACATGTTTATTTACACTTTAGATGCCTACAAGACCACAGGTCAGCTGCTTTAGAAGAAATTCTAGTTTCATTTCTTTATCCATGTTAAGGTTCCTAAAACTTTCCTTTGGAAAGGCAAATTAAATTCTCACGAAGACATCCTGCTTGTTTAGGTTAATAACTTTCATTTCCATCAAATAATGTAGCATTCATTTGAATGAATGTGTTTATTCCTAACACATTACCTAGTCGATATCAGTATAGATATTGAGTTGGATTTTCTCCCATTGTGGGAGATCTGATGTGGTTTCTAAATATTTCTTGATTTCTTTTTCTTTTTTTTTTTTAAAGACTGCATGTAAACAATTTAATTCATCATAAGCTCTTTTCCAAAGATTTTCAATCAACTATACAGAACCAAAGCTCTCTATTAAGCAGAAAAGCCTAATATTACATAGTTACTTTAAACAGGCAGGAAAAACAAAAATGCAAAAACAAGAATTAAAAAAAAATAAGAATTTAAGTATCATCTGAGAGATCTAACCAAGAAAGAAAAATCGAATTTCTTACCTTAAATATTGAGCTAAAGTGAGCAGCTTCACTCTTAGTAGTCAGAGGCAGAAGTGAGGATGTATTTGTTTGTCTGTCCTGTTGTTACTTCAAGTTTGGTTGTTACATAGTTTGTGTCATGGCTCTCACACATGTCAATACACACTCCCAGACACATTCACACACCCTCCATTTCCTCTTTTTTCACGTCATGTGTCTGGCTTTATCTTCCATTCTGAATATAGCTGTTTTTTCCTCACACAACCATACCCACATTTCCCTCCCATTTTTTTTTCTCAGATATAGATTCACACACCAATTGAGCATAAGACCAGATTTAAATTCAATTGCAGAATTGTTTTCTGTTATAAACTGTTCACAGCTGTTTCCAAGAAACAAGGCCTTAATTGGCATCCAGCAATGGAAAGTTGATTCATCCATCCATCCGCCCATTTTCATCCGCCTCTCCAGGGCCGGGTCGTGGGGGCAGCAGCCTAAGGAGAACAGCCAGACCACCCTCTCCAGATTTGGAGGTGCTTCTAATTCCTGCTACTTCACACTCGGCTGTGAACTGCTCCAGTGCAAGCTGGAGGCCACCACCTTATGAAGCCAACAGAACCACATCACCTGTGAAAAGCAGAGTCAAGATCCTCATGGTGAAAAGTGGCTATACTGAGGAATTCTGTCCATAAAAATTATGAACACAATCTGTGGCAACCAACCAACTTCCAGCTGCAGCTCAATGAGGCGTAAGTTCCCCAGTCTCCCTCAAAATGCTGTCAGACCTCTGCCAGAGTTGGGCTGGATCTCGTGGACTGGGAACTCTGCTCGGTGTTGCCAGCACACCCTCACTATTTAGGTGTGTCGGGTCTTTCCAGCATCGTCCTTCAACTACTTGATCCAACTCACCTCCAGGTGTCATTTACTTGACAGCTCAGTCCCTCTCTTCACCCAAGTGTACAGAACATAGATCTGATGATATGATTATAAATATCAGTCATCAACCTGCTACCTTATGTGTCCTGGTGCCATGTGCATTTATGGACACCGTTATGTTTGAACCTGCTGTTGGTTATGGAAAAAACTGTGGTTCAGGTAAAGGGTTGAGATCGGAGAGGCTGCTATTCCCAATCGTGTCCCTCCAAGTCTCACTGTCGTTGCCCAATTGAGCATTAAAGTTTCCCAGTAGAACAGCAGCACCCTGAAAAAAATGAAAATAACCTTTTAAACTATTACCAGTATTTAACTAATGTCAAATAACACCGCTGATATGAATGCAAAGATGTGATAACACATATCATAATGAATATTTACCTTAGGAACAGAATTGTTGTTTTCAGATACCCAACTGCAGGGAACAGGCCGCTCAGAAAAAGAAAATGCCAGAAACAACTTCACTGTGTGAATGAACGGTTAGGAATTAGTTAATAAATAAAAAAAAACAAAAGAAAAAAGTGCATGGAAAAACAAAGAGTTTTTATAACCTACGTGTATAGAACTGACAAAAAATGTGCTGCATTATGAAGCACAAACACTGAAGGCTACATGAGGAAGCAAGCCTTAAAATAAGTCTGGAAGTGAATGGAAAACACTCAGACATAGACAAGGGGAACACAAGAAACCAATGAAAATGGAC